GTTTTGTTTTATTTCCTGCACTTTGTGAAATTTTCTCTCGGGTTACTCTGAGGCTGGAGTGATGGGCCCCCTGCTGGTGGAGTGGTCTCCACAAACCCACAAAAATGGTCCGGGAACTACGGGGAGTCTGGGTGGCCCTCCCTCTGACGGAACCGGCTCCTGAGATGCCGAAATCATGTTCCATCTTGGCTCTGGCCATGAGGAGAGTGGAGTCTTTTGTTTTATTTATTTGTTTTTAACCCTTTCCAGGACAAAGGAGCGCCCTCTGCCTGGGGCCTGGGAATCTCTCCCCCAAAGAACCAGCCCCTCTCCCCCCACCCCACCGCAGGGCCTGGAGGCTCAGACATTGCAGAGGCTGCAGGGCCTCCCAGGAACCCCTGGCACATGCAAACCCCTGACTCAGACCTGCTTCCTCTTCTTGATTTTTGTACCATTTGCATTTCTTCAGAAGGGGAGAATGTCCTGGCTCACTTCCCTCTGTCTGCCGTTGCAGAGAGCTGAGAAAAGACGCAGGTGGAATAGGGACCTTCATATTGGACCAGGGAAACATCCTTCAGGGGCTGAGCCTCAAATTCTCTGTACTTCTTGCTTAATAGAGTCATAAAAATAAAACTACAGTGGGCGTGGTAGCACACGCATGTAATCTCAGCATCTTGGGAGGCTGCGGTAGGAGGATCGCAAGTTCAAAGCCAGCCTCAGCAAAAGTGAGGCACTAAGCAACTCAGTGAGACCCTGTCTCTAAATAATATACAACGTAGGGCTGGGGATGGGGCTCAGGGGTCGAGTGCCCCTGAGTTCAATCCCTGGTACCCCCACCCCACCAAAAAATGGGGAGGAAGGTGGAGGTGAACCCAGATGGGTGGTATAGAGAGGATTAAAACTCAGGCTAGTACAACCAATGTGATTCTGCAACTGTACACTTGGAAAAATGAGAAATTACACCCCATTTGATTCAAATGTATGATATATCAAGATCACTGTATTGTCATGAGCAACTAATAAAAAAAAAAAAACCAACTCAGGCTTAGGGACACAACCTATAGGATTGGTACTTTTTCCGTGCCTGGTCAACACAGATCTTGATCCACGTTCGTATCCCCAAACCACATGAGCCCCTAAGCAGGCCCTGCCCCACATCGGGGAGTTATATCTCTGCTCACATAAATAAATCCTACTATTCTTCAGATTTGTGAGTCAAGAGTCCAGAAGGAAATTGGTGACGTGGGGAATCTCATCTCATCTCAAACCATAGGTTTCCTTGCCGCAGAGAGGGATCCGAAGGCCCGGAGCATCATGTCTCAGGGGCTTCCGGAGACCCCAAAGCTCCGTCTTAAGCCCATCACTGAATGGGTTTTGCAGGTGAGTTGGCATCGGGTCTGTGCAGCAGATCCCAGCTGTAAACAGCGGGGTGCTGGTCTCCAGGTGCCGTGGGGCTGCGGGGATCCAGCGGAGCTCAGAGCTTGCAGCACTGCCCGAGGTCAGCCCTCCTGGGGCTGAGGTGAGGGCACGGCAGGGCATTAAAAGCACCCGCCCTGATTTGTCATTCACTTTACTGACAACAGCACCCTCTCTCTGTGTCACTGAGCCACACTGCTCCTCAGGTTGGCGGGATACCCACATGGAAGCAGAATCCCCCTTTTTTTGGTGGTGGTGGGGAGAACAGGGATTGAACTCACTGAGCCACGTAGCCCCAGTCGTATTTTATAGTTTTTATTTAGACACAAGGTCTCACTGAGTTGCTTAGTGCCTCGCTTTTGCTGAGGCTGGCTTTGAACTCACGATCCTCCAGCCTCGGCCTCCCAAACTGCTGGGATTTCAGGGGTGTGCCACCAGACCCGGCTCAGATTTCCCTTTTTAAGTGGAGGGGGCCTGAGATTGAGTGTGAATACTGGGGAGACTGCCCCTCCTACAGGCCCCTCCAGTATTAGGAGGGGCAAAGTTTTATTGTTCCCAGCTCCTACCCGTGACTCTGACCCCGGCTTAAGGCTAGATCTCCGCCCTACTTTGGAAAAATCATTTAGAACCTACCAGGAGGTGCTGCGACCTTGTCACCACTGACCAGTTGGTTAGACGCAGTTTCTGTTTTCAAACCGAAAGAAGGTGGGAGCCCCTCCCTCCAGGCTGGGTTCACAGCCCTGCCCCCCACTCACTCTCCAGGCTCCCCTCCGTCCCCAAGAACCCCATTTTTTAGATCTCTCCATTTCTGTTTACCCCAGGTCCCTCGTACACCTGGGGACACTAAGCAGTCCTGCAGGATGGGTCAGGAGGAGGCTGCACAGTCGCAGAACAAGATGTGGGGCCCAGACTCAGTGTCCCTCAAAGTGCCCCCACCCCTCCTACCCACAGGGCCCCAGTCTGGACACACGCACCTCAAATCTGGATGGCACAGGCCACAGTGGCTAAGAACACGATAAGGGACCCATTTCCCCAAGGGGACACCCCCTGGCCCACAGCTGGTTTCCCATTCCACAGGGCAGGGCCTGGGAACCCGCTGCAGCCTGTTCCCCCGCCCAGCAGGTGGGCGGGTCCAATCAGGCCTCCCTCCCTTTCTGTGACCTTCACGTCACCTTTACTTATGTGTTCTGCAGGCGGAAGGCGTGAAAGTGTGTCCCCTCCCCTCCAAGGAGGCCTCCGTGGTCTGGAGGAGCCGGGGCTTGTTCCGCCAGCAGCTGCTGAATTGTAAAGACGGAAGGTTTTAAAAACCAGGTAATAGATGACCTGGCCCATTGTGACAGCTAGGGACAGCCGACAGAACCAAAGGAAAACGTGGCATCTCAACCTGCAACCCACACCTGCACGTCAGGCAGCTGGACCCCGCTCTTCCTATGTCACCCTGTGTCACTCTGCCACCAACCGCCCTGGGGCCCAGGCTCTGCCTTCTGGAAATCTCAGCTCATAAGTAACATTGGTTCATGGCGCGTTTGCGTTGTTATGACAAAACATCGGCGGCCCGGGGCCTGCCAACAACAGGGGCTCGTTGTTCATAGTCAGTGTTGGGGGGCAGGGGGCTTCCAAGAAACCAGGCAATGCCAAGACCCCTCCTCAAACCCTGATTCTTATGGTCACGTCAGAAGAGTTCAGACGCGTCACTCAGAGGAACAGGAAGGAGTTCATGGAAGGGACAGGGAAAGGCAAAGAGGACGCTCTCCAGGGAGAGAGTGGAGGGACAATGTGCCTCCCCTGCTCCAGGTTCACTGAGGGTCCCAGAGACGTTTCCAGAGAGTCCCACCAGGTCCACCTCTCGGCTCTTGACTGACAGCAGGGTGACATCAGACGCTCAAGTCCCCACTGCTGTGACAGTTCCATGTCACCTGGGCCCATGCTGACCAGCTCTAACTGGATTCTTGGTCATTTTTACAGGTTTTAGGGTTAGGAAGAATCATCCTCGTTGGTTCCTCTTATCAGCGCGATTTCCTGCATTTCCTTGCAGGTAACAGGGAGTCTGCTGAGGAGTGTGACTGGTCCTGTCCACTTAGGCCAGGCAGGCGGCAGATCAATGGCTTCTTGGCAAAGAAAGCCCGTGGGGGTCCGCACAGTGGGCCACTTTATAGAATCATCCCCTCAACCTCGGGTTCCCACCGTGCTCATCTGTCTGTTCCCCCAACAGTCGTAGAGGCTGGAAATCCAAGAGGAAGCTGCCAGGATTTGGTATCTGGCAAGGGGTGTCCCCTGATCAGGGTCCCCGCAGGGGGGAAAGGCGGAGGGAGTTCCTGGAGCCTCTTCTGAGCTCACAATCCCGTTCAGCGCTCGGTCCTCGCGACCTGATCATATCCCAAAGCCCCACTCCCGATACCGTCACCTGCGGTAAGATTCCAACGTGCGGATTTTAGGGAGGACAGACACTCAGACCCTCGCAGTTCCTTCTTCCCGATCATCAGTGCATTGACTTTGGGGATCAGCAAACTCATCATCTCATGCCACAACAGAACACTGGAGCCCTCCTGGGACTCAAAATGGTTCACCCGGAAAAAAACCAAGGTTGAGCCTCAGTCCCTCTGAATCAACCCATCCCCCGGTACCTGTCACTGAGGCCACCTGGGCTTCTGCAGACGCCTTGAGAACCTTCTTCTATCTTCTTCTGACAGGATTCCAGAGAAAAATGTGTTGTTAATTAAAGACATGAGGATGTAGCCCAAAGAATTAACAGTAGGGCCTTGAAAGGTATTTGTACATTAATATTCATAGCAGCCTTAAATGCAATCGCCAAAAAGTGAAAGCAACCCAGTGTCCATTGATAGAAGAATGCATAAGCAAAATGTGGTCTATCCATACAGCGGAATATTATTCAGCCATTAAAAGGAAGAAAATTCTGACACTTGCTACAACACGGATGAACCTTGAGGACATTCTGCTGAGCGAAATAAACTAGACACAGAAGGACAGATAGTGTACGATCCACTTCTGTGAGGGACCTGCGGTCGTCCAAATCAGAGAGAGAGAAAGCAGAATGGTGGTTTTCAGGGGCCATAGGGACGGAAGAAAAATGGGAAGATACTGTTTAAATGTTGAAAACTTATGCTTGGGAAAGTGGGAAAGTTCTAGAGATGGATGGTGGTGAAGATTGCACAATATGTGAATGTGCTTAGTGCTGCTCCCTGTAGATTTAAAAATGGTTAAGATGGCACGATGGTAGTGTCCCCCAAAGTAAGGATGGTGTCCCGGAAAGGGCCTTGTGTTAAAGGTTTGGTTAAAGGTGTGGTGTTGAGTAGAGCTGTGGACCTTTAAGAGGCGGGGCTTAGTGGGAGATCCTAGGTCGTGGGGGTGTGCCCTCAGAGGGGATAGAGCAGAAGTCCAGTCCCCCAGTCTCTCTCTGCTCCCTGACGCAAGATGTAAGCAGTCTGCTCTCATGCAGGCCCCACCACGCTGTGCTGAGGAACAGCGGGGCCACCCGATCTCAGACGAGCACCTCCAGAACCATGAGCTAAACGGACTCTTCTCTTTAGAAGTTAATCACCTCAGGCATTTCACTATCATCTTGGAAAACTGACTGATACAAATGGTAGATTTCGTTAAGTGTATTTTAACACAATTAAATTTTTAAAATCCAAACCAGTGGTTTAGTATAAAGAACGTGGCGGGCGGGTATGGTGGAAGGCAGCCATAGAGCAGTTGTCTAGCAAGTATGAGGCTCCCGGGTTGACCTCCAGCACGGCCAAAAAGAGAGAGGTGGGCCATCGTGGAGATACATGGCTAGATGTGCAAGAAAGTAAACAGAAGTCCATGTGAGCCGTAGAATCCAGGGGAGAGTGTCTGGGTGCTCACAATCAGTGTTTCCACTTGTTCAAACATTTTTACAACAAAAAATGGTGGGAAATAAGACAAGCAGGATGCTCCAAGAGGGGAGGAGACTCCACTGTGGAAACAGCGTGGTCCTAGCCGGGTCTGCCGATGCACAGCTGTACATCTAGTGACTCAGGAGGCTGGGGGGAGGAGGATCACAAATTGAAGGCCAACCTCAGCAACTTAGTGAGACCTTGTCTCTAAATAAAAAAATAAAATAAAATCCAAAGGGCTGGAGAGGTGGATGGGTGGCTCAGTGGTTAAGTTCCCCTGGGTCCAATCCCCTGTCCAAAAAAAAAAGAAAACCACATGGGCCCCGCTGAATAGAGGCAGGGCCCTGGGGTCAGGCAGGGAGTCCACACAGCTCCCACAGGGACCACGATGTCCTGACACACACACTCAGTTTTTAATCTTCCTGTGGACCCTGCAGCTATGTGGCAGTGAAGGGGACAGAGGGAGCCCACGTTGTCACTACTGCCCGGGACACAGGCACGGAGAGTGAGGACCTCCCTGCTCTCCAGTGCCTCGTCATGTCTGATGGACGCTGGTGGCTGGGAGGGGACCCCGTCAGGCATTAATCAGGTCAGCCGCCACCCTGTACCAGGAGAGCACACCCAGGATCCCCAGCATGAGACTCTGAACAGAGCTGGGCTCCAAAATCAGGCCCTGCCGCCGAGAACAGCTGTGTGACGGGGGCGAGTCACTTCATCTCTCTGAGCTGCGGTGTTCTGGGAAATGCAGAGTGTGTCAGGCAGCTGTCGTGCAGATTGTGTGAATTAATGCTTGAAAACGCAAGTGGCCGTCCCCTGGTGGGCTGGTTAGTTGGAACAGCAGTCCTGCTGCGGCACCCAGCACCATGGCACTAACTGCAGATCTAAGGGGAGGGTGAGGCCTGGGACAGGTTTGTGGCCTCCTTTCTTGCAGTATCTGATGCAAAGCCAGAAAGACTTGTCCCATGACCGACCAGAAAGGGATCTGGGCTCCAGGGACCTGCTCCTCTGGGGCCTTTTTGTTTCAATACCCTTTTCTGGAGGGAAGTGGACCCAAGGGTCACTAGGGGACAATTCCGATGTCCCAGCTGGGTCTAGCTTTCATGGTGCCTTCTGAAAAGGGTCTCTAGAGCATGCTGGCCCCGAGCTCAGTCAGAACCGTCCCACCCGGCTTTGGAAGACAGGGCGGCCTCCAGACCCTGAAACCACGGGCTGGGGGTCCATGGTAGGCAGACAGTTGTCTCCAACGTCCCCTGTCTCCTGCCCACTACGGAGGGCCCTGCCAGTGATTCGAAGGGATCTTTGCAGATCAGACCCAGGAGCAAGCACAGGCCTCGTCAGTGAGCAGTTCCTGGCACAGGGACCCACAGGGAGCTCCTGGGCTGCTGGGACACGTGTGGGCGTCACAAGATCAAGGGAGGGTATACAGGAAGAGGGGATGGCTCTGTGTGTCACCCTGGAACCCCAGGGAGCAAGGCTGGAGGGGGCTCACAGGGCTCAGCTCCGGCACCTCAACCGCACCAGCCCCACCGCACACACCTGGGGACACAGGGCATCAAGGGAGCTGACCCTGTCCTCCTCCCAGGAGCTTTAGAGAGAGGCCCCTGTGCTGGGGGATTCGGGAGACTGAAGAGTTTGTGGGAGAGTCATCTTTCGCTCTCCCTTGGTGACAGAAGTGGCCGTCCCCCATCTGGATCGTGAGTCCACCTGTGAAGCACAGTTCTGAAGGAGTTCTTGGCTCGGAGGCCAGAGCGCTAGGTTTTAAGATTCCAAATCAGAATTGGTTCTGATGTCATTGCATAAACCAAGTCGTTTTCTCCCATTCTCCCTCCCTCCAGCAGAGGCCTGGGGCAGCAGACAAGCCAGGGAGCAGGCTCCGTCGCTGAGCAGAAAGGTCCCCAGAGCAGGACAGAGCTGGAAGACTTCCTCCCGCCGGGGGCTCCTCTGCCACTTTTTAATATCCTTGCCTGGACTCTCAGCCCCTCCGTCCACTGCAGCCCTCCCGGGTGCACCCCGCATCCCACCCCTCCTTACGCACAGCATCACCCTGAGCCGTTGGCGCCAATGCTGCCCCCAGTCCTCTCCAAACTGCCCCAAAAGGGGGGACGCAAACACAGGCTGCAGCAGCCCCTCCGCTGTGCTAGGAGTAGACGAGTGTTCCAATACGGAAGGAAGGACAACCTCAAGGTACGGGGGGACTATCTTTTAACAAACCCAATAACAGGGCAGAGAACCCTCCAGAGAACATGACAAGACGACTTTTTATGAAGACAAGGATGTCTGGGATGTAATGACGCACAGGAACCACCCAGGCAGACCTCTAAAGGTGCGAAGAGGGGAGGCCATTCTGGAGCACCAAGCACTGGCTCTGTGTCAGGCCATCGGGGGGAGATGGTAGAGGGGGCGCGTATCCAGCAACATCTGCGAATCTTGAACTTCAGGGCAGAGGCTTCCACTTAGCACCATGGGATCCATGGAAGACGCCGAGTGCCTTGTAATTCCTGAAGACACTAATGCCTAAAAATTCCTGAGGGAAGATTATTTTCTACCTGGAATCCTAGATTTAGCAAAGTATTAGTCATGGGTAGAGATAGACCAAAGACATTTTTATATACATAAGCATTCATAAAATTAACCTTCCTTGCACCTTTATCAAGTAACTACTGGGATAACCTCTGGCAAAATGAACAAGACGAAAGAACAAAGGAACATTGGGCCCAAGCTAGGAGAGTGAAGGAGAAGGCCCAGCAAGAAAATATGCCACAGGCTTAAAGATGGAACAGTCCAGATTTGGTGAGTTTATGGAAGTATCCAGAATTGAAGGCTCTTGGGGAAAGAAAGAAGACTAATAAAATAAATTATTAAAATTAAACATTTGAGGACAATATTTTTTAAAGTGGCTAGAAAAGTATACAAGTGGAAAAAATGAGGCGATTAAAAACTCCAGGAGAAACAAAAGGTTCCCACAAGACAGGAAATGTGAATATTGGAACCTCAGTAAACAACATTTACCTTACTATTGTAATAATATATTAATTATGGATTTAACTGTACTAGAAAATGTGATAGAAGACACAATAGCATGGGGTAAGTAACTCTGTCATTACAAAAAGTCAAACAACTACATCTCCAACAGATCAAGACATGATGATGTAAGCATATTAACTAAAGGCACAAAAGTCACTGCCAAAAGAAATAACCAAAAAAGTAGTTCAAAAGTGAGTGACTGGGCTGGGGCTGGGGCTCGGCAGTAGCACACTTGCCTGACATTTGTGAGGCACTGGGTTTGATTCTCAGCACCACATATAAATAAATAAAAATAAAGGTCTATTAACAATTTTAAAATATATATATTAAAAAAAAGTGAGTCACTATGAGGAATAGGACTCTGGTATCTTAGAGAGGGACAGAAGGACCAAGGGGATCTATTCTTTTTACTTTGAGACTTTCAATTCTATTGAATTCTTTGTGCAATAAACATGATTTACATTAATGAATAATAATTTCAATAAATAAATATTGCCAAAGGACAGTAAATCAATATCTGCCTGTGAAAAAGCAGAAAGAAGTAGAGTACCAAATGAAGGTGAAAGTGGTGCATTCAGTAACAAAATCCAGGGAGCAGGGCTTCCAAAAGACAGGCACAAAATTCAGGCAGAAGGGTATATTAGTCAGTCCCCATGACTGTAACAAAATACCTGAAATAATTAACTTACAAAAGAGAAAAGGTTCATTTGGGCTCACAGAGATTTCAGTCCATGATTGATTGGCCTTGTCCCACTGGTGCCAGGGCAAGGCAGCTCATCATGGCAGGAGCGCATGGTGAAACTGTTCACCTCATGGCCATGGTGTGAAGAGAGAGGAGGGAGCTGGGGGTCCCGAAATCCCCTTCAAGGGCCTAACCTCCTCCCACTTGGCCCCACCTCTTCAGGGTTCCACCACTTCCCAGTAGTGCCACAGGCTGGTGACCAAGCCTTTAACGCTGGGCCTTGGGGGACACATAAAACCATAGCAACGGGGAAGGCAAGGCTAGAGCAGATCCAAGTACCTGGAGAGGCTGACCGTCAATTAAAACGCCTTGATTCACTCACTTCTTTTTTCATTTTTCCAATCAGTCCTGGGAAGTGGTTGCTTCTTGGTGACCCCAGATGCCCGTGGAGAGCAGAATTTGCTTTCCGGGGTGCTGCTGGGTTTCTGCACACACTCAGGGATGCTGCCAGGAGAGCCCAAGAAACGCTCTCCTCAGCAGGGAGAATCAGCACGGTTTCTGGAGACAGTGCTGCCTAGGAACCGCCCCATGTCTGTCTGGATCCAAAAGAATGTTAACAAAACCTCTCAGGGGGAAGAGGGTTGTCTAGGTGACTGCAGAAAATGGACCGTTTTCCAAGACAACCATGGCATGGTTTCAGTCTAGGCTGTAAGTGGTGCATCTGGTTCAGACAACTTAGGGAAATGGTGACTCAGTGGGAAACTGGGTGAACAAGGGAGGGTACATCTTTGTGTCGAATCTACACGAATTCGAGAAAGATTGGAGCTATGATAAACTGAAGCAAGAGTACACCTTCTCGATTTGCCAACAGTTTGACGCTTGTTGTTGTCGTTGTTGTTCTGCTTTTATTTTTGCTTTTGGCTCCAGGGATTAGACCTGGGGTACTTTACCACGGAGCTACATCCCCAGCCTTTTTAGTTTTTGAGACCGGGTTTTACCAAGCTGCCAAAGGCCTCGCTAAACTACCGAGGCTGGCTTTGAACTTGCGGTCCTCCTCCCTCGGCCTCCTGAGTTGCTGGGATTGCAGGTGTGCAGCACCAGGCTGACAGTTGGGTGTTTAATGCCTGACAGTGGCTTTTGTGTCTCCCCATTCAGGTGCAGCATGTCGTAAGCTTACTTGAGAGAGTCTACTGCTGGTAGCTGTTCGCCAGGACCCTTCTGAGCCTCCAGAGAAGTGCAGCAGGAGAAGTACTGCCCTGAAAAGACCCCCCAGCTACACCTGCCGGAGGTGGGGTCTCCAGTCCTCAGAGCCCGGGGCCTTGGGCTGGCAGCTCATGGGATTTGGGCTCAGGAGGGTTGACACTGGGTCCTCTCTGAACTGATGGAGGTCTCTTACCTCAAATGGGTCCTTTTCTCTCTGGGTACAAGATGATCATATTGATCTTCCCCGAGTGCCACAGCAAAATGTCTTAGACTCAGCGGATTAAACACCCACAGTCATTTCTCCCAGTTCTAGGGGCAGGGAAGTTCAAGGTCAAGGTGCTGGCAGATTCGGTTCCCGGTTCCCGGTGAGGGCCTGAACCCTGGCTTGCAGACAGTCACCCTCCCAGTGTGAGCTCTCACGGCAAAGAGCGGGGAGACGCAGAGACACGGAGAGCACACGCTGGTGTCTCTTTGTCTCCTCACCATGAGGTGGAAGGAGGCACCACCCTGGGACCTGTCTAACCTGAACCACTCCTCTACCCTCAGGGACAGCCACGCTGGGCATCAGGGATTCAGCATAGGAACTTTGAGAGGCCCCGTTCAGTCCAGAACAATGGTCCAACCACCAGCAACCCCCCCCACCACCGCTGCAGTCAAGTTTCCATCATGATGGACCAGAGACGCTCCGTCCAGCACCATCCTGACAGCCGATGCTCCCAATGTCGGGGTTCAGGGTAGGCTGGAGGTCACCAGGAGATGCTGGGATCCTCGGTGACGCTGGCCAGAGCCCAACAGGTACAGAGAGCCACCTCAGGGCAGAATGAACACACAGCTGCAAACCCCCTCGTTCCTGTGGATTGGGGGAATCTGGGGACCTTTCCCTGTCACCCCGGGAAGTTGTGCCCTGCTGGAAGAGGAAACCCTGACACTACAAATAAGAAAACAAAATGTGCCCCCCGTCTGCCTGGGCTGCCAGGAGCTAAGGTCTTCCTGGGCGCTGCTCTGGGGGAAGCCACCGGGGGCTGTTGAAGAAGCAGATTGGCTCTGTCTGATTTCATCACTGACAACCTTTCTCGTCTTCCCCAACTCTCCATTAACTGCTCTCACCTCCTGATGGACGCCAAAGAGACAAAGCCAATGTTCTGGTTTCACAGGGAAAAGAGGGGGGCGGCCAGGCTGAGGAGATGGCCAGCCTCCGTGTGCAGTGGACTCTGAGCAGCAGGCAGGACGCAGGGGAAAGCAAGCATCCAGGGTGCAGAAGCAGGTGCCACATGGGCCATGGAGTCCTGGGCTCCAAAGCCCAGAGCGGTGGCCAGGACTCGCCCAGGCCACAGGCAGCTGTGCAGGCCCCGTGTCTCCACAGGCAGGAGGAGGAATGTCCCAGGATTCCCTACGGGGCAGGACCAGCCTGAAGGTCCTGCCTATTAATACTGAGAGCCGAGGCATCTCCTGAGGCTGACCATGGCTGGGCTCTGTGCTGGGCATTTACAATCACTGTGGAATGAATTATGTCCCCCTAAATTCATGTTGAAAGCGTAACCCCCAACGTGGCGGTATTTGGAGACTTTAAAGAGATTAAATGACGTCCTAAGGGTGGAGTTCCAATCCAAGGGGACTGGCATCTCTACCAGAAGAGAAAGAGACCCAGAAATCTCTTTCTCCCTGTGTCTCTCTGTCTCTGTGAAGGAGGCTGTCTGCAAGTCAGTCAAGTAACCCCAACCAGGAATCAAAGCCTCCTGGAACTTTGCCCTGGAACTTGTCAACCTCCAGACCTGTGAGGAAACCAAGGCACCCCGTCTGTGGTGTTCTGTGACAGCGGCCCTCACCGACAAACACAGCATAAGATACTTCAAACACAAGTTGCTTTACTTTACCCTAAAAAGTCTGATCAATTTAAGCCTCCTAAGTCCCCTATACCGGTTTTGCCATTACCTTTTTTCTCACTCAAAATCTTTTTTTTTTTTTTTAAATATTTATTCTTTTTAGTTCTCGGCGGACACAACATCTTTGTTGGTATGTGGTGCTGAGGATCGAACCCGGGCCGCACGCATGCCAGGCGAGCGCGCTACCGCTGGAGCCACATCCCCAGCCCCTTCGCTCAAAATCTTGATGAGTACCTGGGCAGGACAGTGGCTGGGGGCGTGAGGCCAGGTACCCCAGGCCCTAGAAACCCAGTGATCAAAACTGACTCCGGTAGGGTTGGGGTTGTGGCTCAGCGGTAGAGCGCTTGCCTTGAATGTGCGAGGCCCTGGGTTCCATCCTCAGCACCACATAAAATTAAATCAATCAATCAATAAATAAATAAATAAATGTATTGTGTACAACTACAACTAAAAAAAATAAATATTTAAAAAGACCCTGACAAACCCGTAACAACGGGAGAAATCGGGGAAGTTGCCCAAAAGCTGTCATCCCCCAAGCCACCAGGCTCAGCTGGTGTCACAGGTTAAAAACAATCCTTCACGAAGCAGAAAGATCTTCGCAGGATGACGGACTCAGAGGCTCATGAAGAGAGGCCACCGATCCCAACATCTGCAAAACAGGACATCTGGCCTTGTCGCCAGTGTGGGTGAGAGGAAGCCCAGTGTGGTGGCTGCGTAGCTCCCAGCAATGTCGCCACACCTGTCCCATTCCCAAGATCCGTTTCCCGGCAGCTGCTCTATGGAATCAAGACCCACGAAGCAGCGCTTCAGTTGAGGGTGGATTTCAAAACTTGTATCTCAGGATCCTTCTCCAATTAATGCAGAAAACCACCACCTGGCACTTACGTTCCGTGTGTGAGGACTCGTCTTGCCTTCTCCAAAAGCACGTCAGTGCCCCGAGTTGCCACCCGTGGCTGGTGGCAGCAGGACTTGCAGGGACAACCGAGGCCATTTTTCACTCCATTGGAAAGACTGCAGACATGGCTTCAAGACCACAAGCATCGTGGCGAATTCACAGGCTCTTATCCGCCTTTCAGGGCGCTGAGGGGCCGTGGGATGGGGGTGTTAGGAGGTCTGGGGCCCCTTCTTTTCCGTATGGACTCAGCAAGGTCCTTTTCTTTGGCTTTGAGGTCCCTTGAAGGAGCCACCTGCCTCCTCAGGGCCCATGTGGTCAATGCCTTTACCTGTGGAGGTCTGCTGGGTGCCATGTGCGGATCCTGTTTGTTTGTTTCTGATTAATGTTGTAAAAACTCACGTCCAATCTCAGGTTGGTGGGGAATCTGTCTTTCCCCCAAGGTCTTCAAAACAGTCTAGCTGGAACAGGAAACTGACAAGTCTCTTCCCAGGTGCCATGTGGAGTACCACCCGCCCCTCCTCTCTTGGGGCATAAGCAATGCTGGTTAGGAGTTCTTGTTGAAGGTTAAGGGTGAAATGCCGTTGGTTGACTAAATCGACCTGAGAACGTAGTTTGGTCTTGTTCCTAATTGGCTCAGATATAAGATGGTGTCATTAAGTCCAGGTGAAGCCGGATTTAGACAGGCAGTCAGCACAGACAGGTAAATGGAGTCAGGTCGGATCAAGGAGGCCAATTTTGAGTGAGTCCAGGAAGTTGGAGGATGTCCCCTGGCGATTAAAATGTTAATTTCTTCAGAGCCCTTCCTCACCCTTATCAAGCCATATATGTGTCACCTTGCCCCTGGTGAGGGCTCATCTTTAAAGACAGAAACTTCTCCACTTAGGAGTCACTAGAGGCTTAGGAGTAAGTCCCTTTCGAAGTATGCTCTTATTGATCTGCAGAGAATGTTCATACATAAATAAAATAGTCACTGCTGCAGTTTGGATTTCAGATGTCTCCCAGGTCCCATATGCTAAAGACTTGGTTATCAGCCTGGGGTATATTGAGAGGTGGTGGAGCCTTTAGGGGGCGGGGCCTAGTGGGAGGAAGTGAGGTCATGGGGGTGTGGCCTCCAAGGAGATATTAGGACCCCAGCCCCTCCTTTTCCTCTCTTTGCTTTCCAGCCACCATGAGGTGAGCAGCTTTGCTCCTCCACCATGTGCTCCTACCAGGCTGTGCTGCCTCACCACAGGCCCAAAGCTACCAGGGACTGAAACTTCTAGACCATCAACCAAAATAAATTTTTTTTTATTTTTAAGTTGATTGTGTCAGGTATTTTGTCACAGTGATGTGAAGCTGACAAATACAGTGACATCAGTTAAAAGCACTCTATTGTCATGTCCACAAAAACAACAACAAAAGGGTGGTACTCGGCTTTGATTGCTTTTGAGCCCACCAGTGTTGGAGCCCATTAATCAGGGGCCCCATGCTGAGCCTGGAGCCCTGCTTTGATCTCTTGGCTTCTGGGGAGTTCCCACCGGATATTTTTGCCCCTCTTCCTCAGGTGAGAGCTGAAGAGAGAAGTTCCTTCAGCAGGGGCTGCAACCGCAACTGAACAACTGAACTGTCATTGTGAGTCCGTGCAATGAAAGAGCAGTGTTGAGAAGCAAGTAACAACTGTGC